GGGGGCGCGGGGCCAGAGGCTGCCGGCGACGGAAGAGGTTCGGAGTGGGAACAGAGAGACGAAGAGGATTACGAGGATTTACGGGATGAAGGACACGGGGAAAGGACGACGACGCAAAGGAGGACGGACGGAAATACGGGACCCAAGTTAACAGATAATAGACTCGTTGGGGAGCGGAGGAATTGTACTGAAAAGAAGAAAGTGCAACATATTCACATTATATTAGACAAAAGATAATTATCGGATGATGTATTTATCTACTTGCTAAGATCATAAGAGTCCTAGAAACAAGATAACATCCGTGTCTGCTTGATACGTTCGTTACAGAGACGGGAGAGGGATGTGTACAATTTTGTGCGGTCCGGTAATTCCTTTCAAATATAACCCGGTCAAAGTGTTTGCTTAGAACAAGATGTCCACACAACCATCCTAGCTTTTAATCAAGAAGGGTCTGAACCGGTTGATCGAAAGTGAAAGAAAAAAAAATCAGAAACAATAACATTCGGAGAAATGAAAGAACAGTAATGTGAATTTTAGATAAAATATTTTGAAAGCGAGTCAGGTCTAGAATATCGCAGTGAACTCTAATGACCAGTCTACTTCTGGAAGTTCAAGACATCGGCTGAGCGTGATGTAGTAACTTTCAAATTAAAATTAATGCGCACAATATTAGTATAGATGTTGCGACTATAAATGCCCGGCAGGAAAATAATGGAAAGAAAAGTACAAACTTTGGATGACGCAGGAATACGATGCAAATAAAAGACGAGGAGGTAAAAAAAAACAAAAAAAACGCAAACATTACAAGGGTAAAAAAGCAAGGCGAAAGAAAACTAAAAGAGACTGGAAAATTTAAATACGTTATTAATCCAACTGAATCATCTTGTGTGTGTGTGTATGTGAGTGAGCGAGCGAGCGCGCGCGTGAGTGAGGGAGAGGGAGAATAGGACAAGGTACAGGGAAATTGCGCTGTCCTTGGTACGTTTGTTAGGGTCCGGCATTCGCCTAGCCGGTTGCTAGAGCTCCTTCTGACAGCTGTTGGGCTCGTCCCTACTACAAAGCTATTGCCAAAACTCCGCCACAGTCGGAACCCAAAACCCTAGCACCTTCCGATCACAGTTGCTACAGAGGGAATATTAATGCTGGCTCTAAGCTAACACCACTCTTACACCAGTGAAATCCAATTTCTTATCACCGCCAGTTGCACTGCAACAGTACATTGTGCGCATTGCTTTAAAAATCATTTTATGTGGATTTTGTTGATTGATTAGAGATTCCGGGCGCGTCAACGGCTCGGATCAACAGTCTCATACATGTCGTGAGTGAGTAGGCCGAGATAGCCGCTTTAAGCTCTTGACCTCTCTCGGCATGTGTGGGAGTGTATTAGTTTTGGGTGTGTGTACGTAAGGGGTAAGGATAGGACAGGGAGGAGGAAGCAAAAATCCCGCGTCGTCCGTGGCCCGTTTGCTTGGCTCCTGCTCCTGCTTTTGCCTGACATTGATCGCAGAAACGGCGGGAAACGACTGATCGGTGCAGCCGGTTGTTAGAATTCTCCTCCAGAATTGTGTGGAAAACCCAGCCACCGTCAGGACTCGAACCCTAGGCTGTTCCGCTCCGATGCACTGCAGTGTCATCAATTGATGCCCTGAGCCGCCTAAGCAGGTTATTTTTGAGGTTTGACTAAATATATGCCTACAATTATTAGCCCCAAAGGCCCCCCATGATAATGCTGGGAACCGTATACACTTGGTATTGCTAACGGAAATCGCTTTATACGAAAACCATGCAAACAATACCTGCACAAGACAACGTATTACACCTGCAACTCAAAGCGGAGCCTCACGTGGCTGCTTCAGTTCGTGACTTGCCGAACGCCGGGAGACTTCGCTCCCCCTCTTACGCACAGGTCTTACAACCAGCCCTATCGATCCACAAATATGTCGATTCCCGGAAAACAGTGCCAAGCGGCGTGGGCGGGGAGCCGCGGCGGAGAGCCAGGCGGCCCGCGGCGATCCGCCCCCCTCTCCAATCCCCCCCCCCTTCGTCCCTCCGAATCCCCTCCGGCGTCGCGCCAAGTCCACAGACATCTGCAGTGCATTCGTTAAATACGCCCCGCTTTTAAAAATACAAAAAAAGGTCGGGGAAAGAAATGTGTACATTAGTAAAGCCTGAATTCCTCCTGTGGAACGAGCGATTTGAAGCAGCAGCGGATTAAAGCGTGTCTGGGGCGGCGAGTGATTTGTGAGGCCGATGCAAACCGGCCGTTCGGAGCGCATAATTCCAGCTGGAGCGAGCGGCCTTCGCAGCTCCAGCCTGCGAGCGCCCATCGCCACTCGCACGTTATCAACTGGCTGCGATCGCCACCCACTCTCGGGCAATCATACGTCAGCGTTCATTCCTATTAAAACCGCCTTGGTACACAGGGAAAATGTGCGTCTAAAAAATTCATTCTGCAGAACGCTTCTAATTTGAGACGTCTTTTATTTCGCGGCCAAAGTGCCCATAAAAAGTATTATTCTATACATCGTTTGTTTTGAAAGCTATCTTTGTGAGATTTTCAAACGAAAGAATAAACTCTTTTCTATTCACATGCATTCATTTAATGAAAAAATGGCATTTTTTGAGATGTTTCGCATTCCCTGTGCAGCGACAATTCGTAATCAGTTATAACATTTGTTACTAGGCGAAGAGGCGAACTTGTTACTAGGGAAAATCGAACTAGGATAACGTTTTTCTTCTTTTTCTTCCCTTGGAAAATAACATTTTTTTGCCTTCTACTGTGTGTATGGTATTACGGATGCTAGTGAGTTGAAAGGTAAATGGAGAAGTTTGGGATAATTGTTCGGATGCAACGGGGTCATGTATACATGAGACAAAAGTGACCCGGAATACGTGCAATCAGTGGGGCCCTTAAATAATTTATAATTTTATAAATATATTTCATTAAAATGAATGAGAAAAAGAACTATAATATTATAAATTAAAATATTTTTACAAGTTTAGAAATCAACAAATTATTATTTAAAAATACTGGAGGGCCCTGTTCAAGGAGGGCAAGAACATGATTAATCTAATTTTTGCTCATCTATTTCCGTTATGACAATCCCACTCGTATGGGATACCAAGTGGAATGCGAATTACATACGAAATGCCACAACCGGATCCATGATCCTGTAGCAGCTTATTGTTAGTGCAGAATTACTCCTAAATGCATTAGGCATTGGTACTGACCCCGTGGGGTCTCGGTGGGTGAGGGTGATCTTACTGGCCTCTGAACCCCCTCTGAATCCGCTGCGCGGATTGGATCCCTGCCGCGATTTTCGAGGGGTCGAGAATCCACAGTAGCCATGTCACGCTTGTGGCATGTAAAAGAACCCTGGCGGATGCCCGGCAAAATTAAATCCCTCCGACAACATCCGCCCTAACGAGCTCTCACT